GAGATTTTATGACAGTCTGAATTTTTAAAACAATAAGAAGATTTGTGTGGAAAACGTTGTTGGAGAGCAAGACCTTGCTCTCCAGCAACATTTTCCATACAAACCCTATAAATTTTCCAAAAATTCAAACTGTCGTACAAACTTTCTCTTTAATTCTGGGGGCGTCAAACTTGGCCATTTTGGTATTTTCAATGCGCTCTTTCCATTTCTGGCATTTTCTAAGTTATAGCCCATAATATAAAAATTTTCTAGGAAAAATTTGGTCATGTGACCCCAGCTGCAAAGGGCCTATATGGACACCAGTCTGAACAATAACAGCTTAGTATGGATATATCAACAATTCTTACCAGTTTGGTAAGCGGATTCTCTTGATGGCATATTTACAGTCATCCACCTTGTTCTTAGCTTGAAACACCAGACCAAAGCCACCTTTGCCAAGGCACAGTTCATGTTCAAAGTCAGTTAAATATCTGTCAAGTGCAACATACTGTAATTCATCACACTGTCAATACTTTTACATGCCTCTAGTATAATTTTATCAAGTTTGATTCTATCCAACATACTTGACTCAGCATAAAGTGGCAACTATGTTTAATACAATTCATGTTATGGTACTGGTCCATGCCTTACATTAGTATTTATTTTGTGGTATTTACATGTACATGTAGCTGACTGTACCCATTGTCTCTGCCATTGTCTCTGCTGGCAAAATTCCTGTTTACTACTCACTTCCATTGAATAAAGATTCAAAGTTATTTCACACATTTACCTTGAGACAAAAGAATTTGATAGTGTTAAATCAGGGGAGCTTGGTGTAGAGGATTCCTGTAAAAACAAAACACCGTTATGTCAAAAAAAAAAAATACCATGTTTTTGACAAAAAAAACACTTGACAATAAATCTGTGATAAAATGTTAAACACTACAGCATAAAAACTTACAATGTTTTAATAATGTTGGGTGATCCTCATTGTCAAAGCAAAGTATGGTTTGAAATGAAAGGTTGTAATTACAAGCAACAGGTCATTTATAAAAGAGAACTACAAATGATCAAAATGGAAGTCCAACAAAAAGTTATATACAAATAAAGTCTATATTATTTACAATGTAACTTGCTTATAGAGGAATTTTAACCTAATTTGAGCAAACAGACTCACTCAGTTAGTTTCTGTCAGTAACTGCGATCAGTAACATTATATTCCAACAACCCATGACCAGGCAGTATATCAAGCAGAATAAAATAATTGATATTTCTTTTGCATCCATGTGGTTAATAATGATGCTAACTTTAAGAGAAGAGAACTCACATGATTGTCCATACAATCATGTAGAAAGTTAAATATTTTTATTAATACCTTGAGTGTTTCTATTGATGCTGTAGATGAACATGCTGTTAATGTGTTTGAAGGCATCCTCTGGTATTTCATTATTGCTTCATGCTGAAATGGACATGACAAGATTTAGATTAAGTGCACAGATTATTTCTCACAGAGGCCTGAACAATTTGTCCATGGCAAGTAGTATCAGCATAATAAGAAAAAAAGAAACTGAAAACTGTTCCTGGGTCAGTTAATATAAGTCATGTAAAATGCTAACAACTTATGACAACTTACAGCAACAAAGAAACAGGGCTCTGATGAACACTTAATAAGTGCTACCCTCAAACATGTTGAGGGAAAAAAGTTATTAAGCACTTACCAACTAATAAACTATTATTAAAATACACTTTCATTTTTCATCAGGTTTTTCAAAGTGCTATGTATTAGTATACTCATTCATTTTACGGCCATTAAAAAGTAGTATGCTGTGAGGTGTAGACCTCAACAGTAAACTCTTCAGTTAAACCCCAAGCAAATTAAGCATATCAGTCTGCTTTAATTAAACTAGTCTTAATATAAAAAACAAACTGAAAACACTAACAAAATATACAGTGCATCAATATTTAAAAATAAATAATCTTTGATGATTAATGTACTGTAATTGAAAAAGCAAGAATTAGTCTAACTAAGAACATGACCCAAACTCACATTTTCTTTGTTTTGTCCACGGAGGAAATGAATCATGAACTGCACCACAACAGCCACAGCAACAGTCACAAAAACAGCACCATGCCTTACAGGGAGAAAATATTGATCATCAGTAAGTTACATGTCATTTACTTGCAGCACATTGGAAAACATTGCATACGACTACTTCTTGCACATAAAATAATTGTTACTAACAGAGTTCTACATGACTTGCATGGATAGCGTTTGCCACATTGATATTACCGACAGTAAAGCTCAGATATAAGAAAACATCACA